GCTTGAAAGATGCTAGTTTTCATCTTGACATTTCTTTAACAGCATTGTGGGCTAGAAATTACTATATTGCGGTCTTGCAGCACATATCAGCAACTGCATACTCATCTAAAACAGTATCACGTTTATGAGGCCGGGATCTTATACCGGGCGTATGTGCGGCAACTAGATAGCTAGTATTAACCGGAACTATCAAGGCTTAAACAAGATTATAACTACAATGATTCGGATAGCCAAAAGATATAACATTATATGTCTCATACACAGCTCGGATAGCACACCGGTTTTTCGAAATATCTCACCCGCTGAACGGGTGATCGATCAAAAATGTAGGTGCATGCCAATCTGCATCATTCCGTACAGACAAATCTTGTTTTTATATGGAATACCCTAAGCCAAAATTGACGATATTGTTTGCAAATACATTTCCACGACAGCATAAAAGGCGCTTCGAACCTCACTTACACTACAGAGCGAAGCGGTAGGGCAGTTGATCATGTAGCAAAGTTTTTTTATGGTACAAGTTAAACATAGATTTGTCGTTTACTCATGTGGCAATCTAGCATTTCACGCGTTACTCACACGATATTGAGCCGCAACTTTGTAATTTGACAGTTGCAACCTATGTATTAGGTGCCCCAAGCAATTATTGACAGCTTTCTCGGATACAAATATGACATATACGAGAAAAAACGTGGCGTGTCGCTCAATACGCTCAACATAACCGCAAACGAAAATATCAAATAAGAATCACTGCTAAGTTAATATTCATATTGACATTTGTGAAATTGTCAATATGACTAAATAGCATCTTCCTTACACAACTGGTAAGTTAAACTTCTTATGGCGACAAGAGCAATCTATGAAGTACACAAGTGGCCAAGAACATTGTAAAAAGCTTGTTGTTCTCAACATAACAAAAGAATTGGGATGGTCTTTCTTCACGTTTTGCCAAAATATGTGCAACATCTTCGGTACATCCTGAGCCATGACGTAAACCTTGAAGATGACCCGGGGGTTGTATTCGTGAGAACTACCTCTGTATGCGCGCTCCAGCAACGTGATGCATGCATGGCATGGTACCCGAACTTACGGACGCTATTTTCTGGTGATGTTTCTGCCCGATTGCACGAACTTGGTAGCTGCAGGGACCTGTACCCTTGTTGGCTGCCGCGAATATCGATTGACACTTCTCGGTAGACAGCTTCGTTTTCAGCGTGCCCGGAGCTTCATCTAGAATGTTCTGGTAACCATGTTCCAGGTTATGTAATACTCTTTCGACCCCTGTGTAGGCCGCAAACTAGAGTAGACAACAACAAATTGCTTCTCTCTCCATCTGAGTATTCAATACAGGAGACCAAATGGCGTTAAAACCAATAACTTATTCGAACACATAATAGAGCTTATCGATCGGTGTAGACGGAACAAATCTCGAAATTAGCAGTAGAGTTGTGCAAAATTCTCAAAACCAGAACCAGATCTGAGACGAGCCAACGCAGAGCGCAACTGAAGTAGACCACACCATTCCCAACTGCCTTATTGAATGAAGCTGCTTGATTGGCTACGAGACTTTCCATTTTTAGAAGCTGTTGGTTTGATCTCTTTGGGCAGACTTTATTTAGTAAATAGACGGCTCATTGTTCATTTTGCAACCCACGACCGCCTGCGAAGAAGGTCGGAGCCTCATGAGTTGCCCAGTGTTGGCACTGTCATACTCGCTGGAAGCGATACCTACGATGAGATGGTACAAACGGTAATTTATCTGCAGGTGATAGGAGAAAAGGTTGCTTAGTTGATGTTTTTATCTGTGCACGTGACAGAGTAGGGGACACAGCGCGCGATCAGCATACTGTAGAAAACCCACCAGACGGTGCGTTAGTACGATATTCGACGTACTACGAAATCTTGTCCGTTTTAACACTATTTGATGTGCTGTATCTCGCTGTTTGTTTAATGCGTGCAACGTGTAATAGGTTGGACGTTGTCAAGATCGTGATACGCTCGTTTTGATACTTTGCAGGTCGATTGCGAATAGTCGGCACCAGTCCAGATGTACGTTTGAGGTAATACTGACGTCGTTTATTCTTTTTCTACCCCCAGGGATCGGATGGAAGGGCTGAGCGAGTCGCGAAACAAGGAGAAGGCAAGAAATCGCGTCATGACGAGGCGATAAGTGAGCGCCGATTTCAGACGAAAGTTCCAATGCACAATGTACGTGGAAGAAGCATATGGATGCCTAATGATCGAAGCAAGGGATGTACGCAAGTGCAGGGAGAAGGAAGTGTCATTGTAAAGTCCATCAAGTTTGGTCCCGTAATGTTTAAGTATTTTGTTTCCTGTACATGTAAGCAATGAGTGTATATCCTTTAAAAATATATAGCAAGCGTGTTTAAAAAACATTACGGCAAAGTTTTTGATGTATTCATTCTGTGTAAAAGCTATCCTCAGCAGGTTCAATTGAGTATGAAGGCAATATATCCACGCGGGTGAAATTCGTCTGAGGTGGTGCCAAACATCACTGTATTCGTCACGAATACTGACGCTGGATGCACAGAGTGTATCAGGTCACTTAATTGAATTGACTTTGCTTCAAAATGCTTGTTCTGTTCTTCCCTCAAAGTCGCATGGCGTCGACATGTTACCTCGTTATGCCCCGCTTGAAAGCAATAATAACATTTTTAAGTACCTCCGGACTTCGAATCTCCAGAGCTACTGATACGTCTATTCTGGCGTCGTCCAGTTTTTTTATGATACGGTGGTGGATTAATCATCACTAGAGGTGTTCTAGTGTTGACAACCAATTCGATCGACATCCCCAGAAACCGTTGCTCAAAACGTTTGACCAAATATGCAGGATGAAAAGCTGCCGTTATGTCGATTGTAGCCCCATTAGCATGCAATACGGCGAAAAGGTTGCGGCAAGGCAATCTCGTTTGCATGTAAGTTGAGCAAGATCACGTTTAAGCTTCAACATCAATGCGTCGATACCTAGCGTAGCCTTGTTTCGAGGAAAATCATATAGTGGACGTCGACCGCGCAACTTCACATCCAACCGCGGCTGCTTGTTCTATTTACAAATTAGCCTCGCACGAGAAGTCACAGTAAGTTTCTTTGCAGACCATTGTGTAATTTGATCTTGATGCATGCAAAAAAATCTATAGTCACCTGTGTTGAACATTTTAATGCTTAGAGAGACGATGTATCACGAATACCATGGACGAGCATGGTATAGTTATCGCTTTCGACAAAGTTAGTAGTCTGCCACCCAAAAAGAGAACATGGTTTCATTGGAGGCGCAAGAAGATCTTTGTGATGCGTGCTTGTGGCGGAATCTGTGCTCGACGTCGCGAAATTTTTGACATCTAAATTTTCATAAACAACTTCTGTTTGCATATTCGCAAATACAGTCCAATAAATGAGATCAACATTTCCGATGTATGTGGCAACATTCTCTCCAAAATTTGTTCTTACCGTCGTAACAGCTGCGTTGTAGTCGATTTCGGACTCTGCCGATTAAATTTTCCACACGGCATTCTCAAATTCAGATTCAGAACATCCGAAATTTCGTTTGATATTGCGAAAAATATGCAAATTCCAGAATTGAATTTGGAGGCTGATACCTGTAAAAGCGTACACTTATTTCACGGCTTCTTGTATCTTCCCACGATCACACATTATCATGACATTCACTAAATTTATTCCAGCCTTGATACAATGAATGAAAAACCATGAAATGTTGTCCTTGTTCTCCACATTTACGAAGACAGTGGCCAACGTAACCTTTTGTCCATTTCCGTCTCGACCAATGAGAGATATTATCAAGCCATTAAATTCGTGATGTTGTGAATGCGTTCCAACAAAACCAACCACCGGAACATTATATATTTGGTTGCTAATAGACACTCCAAAGGCCACAAACAAGCGGAAAATCGATTTTCTTGGTCCACTTCGAGCGCCACAGTGCTCGATCGATTCACGCGCTTTAATTTAACCAGATGTGGAGGTAAGAGCTTAAAAGACGACTTCCATTCTCCTTCCATCGCTTCAATGACCGCTCCTTTGGCTTCGTAGGTCTATTTTCGATACTTTTTGAGGTTAGTACCGTCGCGGACGCGGACTAACGCCACAATTGCCTTGCGCTTGATGCCCTTATCACCTCGAACCGCAGCATTAAAAGTAGGAAGAAGCTTGATTTGACGTGTTGAAGGCTTGGCAGTCGCGAGGCACACATCCATGTGAACATCGTAAAGCGTCGAAATGTAGTGCTCAGAAGATGCACCCTTCCGCTGTCGCCTCGTCACGCGGACTTCCCACGGGCGCCCGTCTTGTGGGCACACATACGTTTTGCTCCCACCGCTATACCTCTTGACATTGCACTGTCTATTTTGAGTAACACAGTAGTCCTGTATAAACATAGTTGCAGCAGCGACCGTCTGGAAAATTTGTCCCTTCGACAGTACATTGGTACCGTAAATCTCTTCCATATCAATCATCGCCATTTTGATAGAACCCTTTGTGTATCATTTTATGTTTCTACAAAATTCTAACTTTACCAGGATACCACACAAATTAATTGTGTGGTCCTCATTGATAAATGGTGTGGTCTACATCAATTGCGCTCTATGTTGGCTCGTCTCAGAACTGGTGCTGGTTTTGAGATTTTGCACAAATCTACTGCTGGTTTCGAGATTTGTTCGTGTAGACGAGCGTGCGCTTGATGAATGCTTTCGTTAGTGAGCCGTTGCTTAAACCAAAGGTGTTTCAGCCGTAGCGCAATAGGACCACGATACCTTTCACTTCTACTATCCATAGCAAACGCGAATTGGCGAATTTGCACTCTCAAGCCTTCGTTTATCTTAACGACGCAGCTTTGACATTCAGTCGCCAGCCCTTTGCTTCGCCTTTATTTCATGCCACACGTACATCACATGTCAATTCTCGACACGTTCAGCGTTCGCGTCACTCCCTCCGTTTCAAACGCAGGCGACCATCTTTGCCTGCCGCTAGATGAAAAACATGCAATTCTTGAGGTCATTGTGCAGCGCCGTGAAGTCGAAATTGGACGAGCTCGAGTTGAGCGATCCCACCGTAGACGCACCATCTGAGCTCTCATTAAGGAAAAAGCGCGCACGACCGGCAGCCAAATGCGCGTAGTAAGCAGGCGTGGCAAACGACACCGACCGAGTGCATCGAGCAAACGTATACCCAAGATGGTACGTCAGACGTTGCACGTCTTCCGCCGACAGTTTGTTCTCGTCGTGCAGTACAGTGTAGTGGCAGGGAACGCTTGTGCCTTGAATGCCGCTATGGCCGTACAAAAAGAAGTCGAAGCGGTGCGAATCCACGATTCCAGAGTCAATCACCGTTCCAGGAACCACGTTGCCCTTCCGATCGGCTTCGCGCGGGTTTACAGGAAAAGCACGCATGTGGTGGCGCTTGTTCACGATGATGAATGTCACAGGTGGGTTGTAATCGTCAGAGATCATCTTGAACGCCTTGCGAAGCGCACGCATCTCCGTCTGCAAGATGTCATAGTACTGGCCCTCGCTCACACCATCACGATAGTAGATGACATGCTCTGGCTTTCGACTAGTGCTTCGGTAGTACGCCAAAAAGAGGTCGCGCAGCATATGTGGCAAGAGCTGAATGCCACTAGAAGCCTTCTGCGCAGCGACACGAGCAACGTACTTTGCCGAGTAGCGATCCAGTGAAGCAACAACAGAAGCGATAGACGGTCGTGAGCCCATGCCCGCACGAGGGTGCTCCACATCAGCGCCAATAATGATAGTCGGAGCATCGCTCACCAACGGTAAAGACTCGCGCAAGATCGAATTCTTTCCACTCAGCTTCATGTTGATCTTCAGACAGACGTTGGCGCAGTACTGTGGTTTCGCACTGCGAACATTCGATGACACAATGCACTGGCTAGGAATTCCCAGTATTGTGTCGGACATACGCTTAATGTCGCCGTACGATCCAACGCCTTTATCCTGCTTGATCACCATAATGAGCTGCGGAGGGCCCTGGTTGCGCGCCTCCATCTCCTGAAAACATATTTTCATCAGCTCTTCAACTTGCGCACCACGGTGCTGATCAACGTAAACTGTATGCGGCTTGCTGTCTTCAATCGTCAGTCCACTCTTGCCTGCCATGTCTACTAGTGTCCGAACAAAACTCTGCACGTCACGCTCTCCAACATTAGCGCTGACGACAACTCCCCAATTGCGCATTGTAGCACCGTCCACAAAGCGCTTGTCCCGTAAATTCCATTGGCCTCCAGATGGCCGCTCGGATACATTCGCATACTGCACGTCAGGCGGATCCATCACACGAGCATTCGCCGTTTCGAGACGCTGTTCCACCTTAATCCCAAAGGCAGCCAGGTATGGGTCGTTCTCGAATCCTGCCTGGCGCACCTGATCCATGATCGTTTCTTGGCGAGCGCGTGGAGGCTGGCTAGTCTGCCTGATAATTTCTGCAGTATCCAGCTCATTGATATTTGCGCACCGCTGTCCTGGCGCCACCTCACACAGTTCAATTGGCAGCCAGTTCTCTTTGCCCGGTCGTTTACTGCCAACGTTCACCAGCGGTAGATGCGGGTACCTTAGCTTTACGTTGTATCGCTTGCCGAAATAGTCGGCGATGGACATTGATTCACCCTTGATGTTCACGATCGTTTCGTTGGCTGGAAGCGCACTAATTCCGAAAATTGCACGTTTTCGGTCTTTGCGGTGGGTAGGCACGACTTCAATCTTCCGCAAAGCTCGCGCCAAGTTTTTTCCATCGCGCTCGGACAAGGAGCGAATATCGTTGACCGAACGGGCGTTCAACACGGGCAGCACGAGCTCCAGCAGCTCTTTTGGAGCATAAAATACTGTGGCAGCTTGATCCACATTCATAAGCAATTTACGATCAGCAACGCGGATGGCCTGGTGGTAGCCCCAGCACAATTCTTTGCCGCCTTTTAGGGGGAATGTTTTCTTCATAGAAAAGAAATTGCGACCCACAGTAATCAGACGCTGAGCCCCTAGATGCCGCGCAGCCACATCCAAGGCTTGCAGAACTGGCATGACGTTCACGTCCGGGTTTGAGTAATAATCGGTCAACGAACTCGTGGAAATCGTCTCGGCGAGCTTCATGTTCACCACAAATGTACGCGGACCCCTGAAAGGGCGGTGTGGTGCATCAGTACCACTGGCCGCTGGTGCAGGTGCCGGTGTCGGACTAGGGCCATCCGGGTTAACGTCAGCAAAGGTCTTAGAGTGCGCGTCCCATGGCAGCATCGCAGGCGCGTACATGGCAGACATGCCATCGTGAACAACACGAATTCCTCCAAAGTCAGCTTCATACTGCCTTAGAGCAGCATTTATCACGTTCCGCACCAAAGAGCGTGGAAGAGGTCGCTCTGGGCGCTGCTCACGCTTCGGAAGCGCTAAGGCATCGCTCATTTCTACGTCCTTGTTGTCGCTGCCTTCCTTCTCGTCTTTTCGTTCTTGCTTTGGCTCATCACCGGAAGCCTCAGTCTTCTGTCCCTCGGCGGCACTGCCGGACGGACCATACTTCGAATCCGCCACCAGGTCAGGAGAGCGCTCAACGTTCACGTGATACTTGAAAATCTCATCCGGAGTTGACTCCAGCGACACACCGAAGTAATTGACCTGCAGCTGTACCGACTTGCCGCCTTGAGCAAACCCGGGACGACGGCAAATGAAAAATTCCTGCTGGAGATCTGGGTCTTCGGCGCTCACTTCGCGTGCCCCAGCGCGTCCACTCCAGCTGTCTTCAAGACGAGGGTCGGCCAACGGATCACCAATTGCTTCGTACCCACAGCCGTTGACATTCCCCACACCAGGGCCGGACTCACCCCGTCCTCCACCGCGGCCCCCTCCACCACCAAAGCGGCCACCTCCTCGGCCACCACTGCCGTATCCACGGTCCCCTGCTCCACGATCTCCTCCACGGCGATCATCCCCCGGAACATTATTGCGTCGTCCATAGCCACGATCTGCTCCACGATCTGCTCCACGATCTGCTCCACGGTCTCCGCCGCGATCGCCTCCTCGGCGCTCTCCGCCACCACCGTACCCCCGGTCGTTACTACCGCCATAAAAACCACGTTCCTCTTTCACTCCGCTACTGGCGCCGCCGTAGCTGCGCTCGCTGCGACTGCCACCACCAGTGTCTCCATAGCCGCGCTCACTGCGGCTCGCGTACCCTCGACCGCCTCCTGCGCCACCTCCGTACCCACGATCATCATAGCCCGCCGAATATCCACGAGAACTCCCTCCACCGCCGTAGCTGCCATCGTCGCCTTTGTAGCTTCCACGCTCACTGTACCCACTGCGGACTTGATCGTACCCCCCAGAGGACACCGCACCGTACCCCCCGCGGTTATCGTACCCCACTGAACTACCGCCATACGAAGCGTACGACGAGCCTCCGTGACCTCTGCGAGCGTCGTGACCCGATGTGTCGTAGCCCCGACTGGCGTACGACTCCCCTCGGCCACGATCGTCGTACGCTCGCGCACTGTACGCTGCAGCGTTGGAGCTGAGCTCGACGCGGGTACTTTCGTACCCCCTGGACCCCGAATTAGAAACGCCGTACCCCCCAGCTTGACGGTACTCATCGTAACCCCCAGACGATCGACCGCTCCGATCGTATCCTGCGCGCTGATCGTACTCTACCCCGCGCTCACTATTGTACCCTACCCCGCGCTCGCTACTGTACCCTACCCCGCGCTCGCTACTGTACCCTACCCCACTACCGTACCCTCCTCGGTGATCACTGTACCCTCTGCTGCTGCTGCTACCGTCGGGACGGTTGACGTCGTCGTACCCCCGGCCGTGGTCACTACTGCGTGACCCGTACCCGCCGCGCTGGTCTCCATAGCTGCCGCCGCCGCCACCGCTGTAGCTCATACTGCGAAACTTCGTGGAACAAGTCCCGGCCAATTGATCGCCTTGAAGGGTCTGTCTGTCTGTCTGCGTCGTCGTAGGGAGTGGAGAAGAGAGGGACGCAATAGTGAAGAAAGGAGTGGACCGCGGGCGAAGCAGGTTTAGAAACGATCGGATAAAGTGCGATTTCTATACCGGTGTGGATGACATGCAGACGTTGGCGAACGCGCCTTCTTTTTCTTGTAGAACCCATTCGAAAAAAGAACGACATGACACTTGTAAAGATATACACAGAAACGGAAATCTTTTGATAGTGTTTGGTCTTGCAAAGCATTAGCAAGAGCAACCTCATGCGCCGTGAACTTTATACAGGGGATTTCTTGTACGAATAGCGCCTCGAATCGATCAAATAGCGATCGCTGTATCTGTATCTCGTTAGGATTCAAATGTAACTGCGTTGCTGCAAACCTTTCCGTCCTGTCGATGTGCCGCCTGCACTCACTCACATGGCCGATGTCGTCAAAGCATCGCCTGACTCATCGTGTCCACCCGATCGTCAGCATAGCTAAGAAAAGCGTGGCAGGCTTTTCTCTGACAACACGGTCTACCGCATGTCCGACATCATCCGCATGTTCATCCCATACATCTTAATATTGAATACATGATGCTGAGGGTGCAGCCCAAACTCGTTGGAGAGAAGCGCCGCTAACGTGTTGCTGCCAAGTATGCAACTGGCCTTGTGTTCTCGTGCATTTTCGTCGCGATACTTACGCTAAGTGTGGTGTGTATAATGCTATTCATGCCGTTGTGGCTGTGGTCTTACTTTAAGGTAGTAGAAGCTCGATTGTGGTGTCATAGTTGGCGATCTTGAAGTCGATGTCATATGTTTGTACGCCACGCCACATCAGCTTATTATTATTGTTTCAATTCTGATTGCTTCGTCGCGACGCGTTATCGCTGCCACTTACGAATCATACCGGTATCCCTCAACCACTGACGGTTGCAAGATGCGACCACAGCTTTCATTATTAAATTTACCCGTACCAACGATCCATCTCATCACTACTTGATTTCAATCGAATACTACTTTCGATTTAACGGTATATCGGATGAACAAATTGCACACCAAATCAAGGTGACTGCCTCGGTGGCAATTGCCATGTAGGTGCGTGCTGGGACAGACAGACCTTCCGCTTCATCATGTGTGGTTGTACGATAAATGTAATAGGAGACCGAGCTCCTCATACGCAAAGGGTTTGAACTTCAGCGGTCGACTGGAGATAACTTACAGGTTTCTACAATGTGCAAGATTCCCATTCAATAATATGTACGACTCCGCGATTATTTTGCGTGATCACGAAAGTACAGAAGAGTAAGAGCTAGAACAAAACAATGTAGTGAACATGTTGTACGTATCGAGGCGACAGTACCTACAATGCAGTATGGTAGACGAAGTTGAACCACGATGGACGGATAGCAGCTGCGATTGTCGTCTCGAATGGGGGTGGAAGTGCAGCAAAAACAAGCGGTAATTGTAGTTGGCAATACAAATCGTGTGGGGAACGTTTGCAGAGTTTTTCTTGTCAAAGTGTTGCCACACGTTTTTGTGATGAGGGCTGGAACGAAGCGATCGTATAAAGTCTGACGTGCTTCTCGAAGGTATCTCACGTCAGCGTGGTAGAAAGCAAGTCTTTGCAACGGTGCCTGACGTCTTACAATCGCCATTCCGAGCTCAACTTTGATCGTATTGCTACCCATCCCACGTAAAAGCAAAAGTCCTGTTCTAGAAAGGTCAGATCATTCGTGCGGGGGTGCCAGACCTTCCATTTGACTGTCTACCTGGCCGCCTTCTAGGGTCAAAAAAACACAAGGGCAAATGGGCTCAAACGCTATCCATCACGCAGATCGTTACGAGATCTTTTTTATTAATTAAAGTCGCTACGCCACTTCTATGGCCATCCACACATTACTAGCATCAACAATACGATCATGAGATGTATGTGGGAAGAAGAAGGTGAGTCAGAAAGTGGCTGATATGGAAGGCTTAAAACTTAACGAATAACAGACTCTTCCTGCTCTGCATCAGTTCTTCTGCATGTAGCCACCAGGCACATGATGGTCGTCTCGCCATTGGTCGGCTACGCTGACATCCACTAGATTCATGTATGGTGACTCTGGCTGATGCCTGACTTCAACCTGCAAGGTACGTACCGGCCACGCACATCAGTCGACAGTGCGCGTCTTAGCTTATACCACTGTTGTCAGTTCGTTTTGTCGCACGTCCAAAAGCGCCCAACAAATACAACTTGTTGCAATTCACACGATTCGTTGCATGTCCCTTTCCAGTCATCGGAACTTCGCACTGCACTCCACAGCGCAGGCAAAACTCGTATCTGAACCATGACTTCAGGTATCGAAAATTATACTAGCCGCGCAGGTTCCGCAAAAAAATCTCTAGTACGCCTCAGGCTTAGTTGCGGCACGGATGTGTGTTGTATAACGCTGCGTCGTTTTCGCCATGGCTTTCGATGCGAAATGGGGGAGCGTAGCTTTTGGCGGAAGCAAATCCACTTGATAAGCTAGTCAATACATCACGACAACACCGATCGCCGCTCAATTGCCTATGGGGTAATTTTCCCTCTAGCTTTTCGTTGGACAAATCAAGAAAGCAAAATTGCGTCTCTTTATGCTACTTTTTGCACCTCATATGGTAAAACCGATCGCATGAACTACGCTAGAAATAGACTTTAGAAACAGATCGCATCAAAAACACTCGTCGATGATGAAGCACGTCGGCTGTCAATTGCTATTGTATAGCCAAGTGCATACCGCAGAGATGATGAAAAGCTCCTTATTTGCACTCATGTACACGAATCGATAGATTTGTGCTCCCTTTTAGAATCGCCTTTTCCTACTAATTCTCTAGCTCCACACGACTTTTACAAAGCACCTTGAAGCGATTTGAGGTACCACTTGTGCAGCTGAAACGTTGGGTGTGATGTAAGAGCTTCATAACCGATTGCGCCTACGTTGCCAGCCTTACGTCCATCTCATACATACGCGTTCTTGAGTTGTAACAAGTCAAAGCTATACGAACTGCACACTGTTTCGCTTCAACATAATAGACGACAAAGTCATACGTGCAATGTTTTGCTTGTATCTATTCGAGTTCATGGCCAGGGCTCGACGACGTAGCTTCTTATGCACTACGTTTTCTTGGTCATTCTGCGCCTAGTAGCAATACGTTGGCGATGGCGCGCGAAAAAACCTTGCAGCACTGCGTACACGTCATTAAACATGCGTTTGGTCGAGCAGGCAATGTCAGTGCGGCCTTCGCCGTTCATGAAGCGCTAGAAAGGACATGTTTGTTCTCGGCAAGACGCGTTTGTAACGATACGTAACGAACACGCATGACGAAACAGATGTACGATTGGACCAGAGCCTGATGCAGTAGAAATATTTAATCTCAAGAACTACACGGTCTCGTAAATCCCCGGATGCAACTCAGAGAGACCGCCTACGCCACGTATCCCTACAGAAAACCCTGTACTCAAACAGCGCAAAATTTGGAGCGCGAGTGCATTTCTACGCCGCCATGATTGGCGCTTCATAGCTTGCACTCGTGGCGGCATCCATCGAGGAAAATAACCCAGAGATGGCGCCACTTGCTTGATCGTGCAGACATTGTCGCTCGTGCACCACTTTTCTATTTTCTTGGTTTCTCTTAATACTTGAAAAGAAGATGGACAGGACCAACCCATCAGTATTGTCGCGAGGTCAGCAACATATACCAAGTTCTCACCTCATCTTCCTTCGTGGCAAATTATGACAAGGCTCTCATTCAAAGTTCGCCGCGGACTTTTCCACTATTACAAAATGACTTGGTAGATCAATCGAACACAAAGAGAGACTGGGGGGAGGCAGGAAGAAATGCTTCGAGCCATCAGCAGCATTAAACAAAGCTACAGCGTCGCCGTCCAGCGCCACATACTTTAGCGAATGGCCGACTCCAGTCGCGTTCTAAGGAACACCAGTGCAAGATTTCCAGCACCATACAGAGCCCAGCCTTCATCCACTTAGGCACATTCGCTCCTGTCAAAGTGCACGTGCCGTGCGTCCTCCTTCTAGCCTGTAGCTATGATCTACCTGTACTAAAGAGCAGGAGCCCAGTAGATGCCCTTCTCACGCCCCACTGTCTTGCGCCGTGGCGCATACCATTTTGACTCGTCCGTCCTTGGCTTCAACTTGCTTGCTTTGTCCACCTCATTGCATTATATCATGCATGACGTCAGTGCCGCGAGGCTCAATCGGCTCAGGCGAAAGTCGTCAGCTGTCAGTCCTCCCGGTGCGGGGACAGCTACACAACCGCCGTCAAGATTTTCTCCAGCTACACATTCCACCATCCAAATTAATGCGTTGGCCGTCTCTCAGTCTTTGCTCGTTGATCCCGGACACTCCGAAGTGCGGCAAACGCGTCGATAAACGTTTGTGCGCTACACTACACACGGCGCGTCTATAACGTTCTGACGCAAGGTCAAACAGTAACGTGGACGTGACTTATTCCTGCGTTGCACAAATGCGGCCACGCCTGCAGCGGTACCAGTCCCGCTGATGTAGAGCACGATAGGCGCTGGAATGCCATACTCGTCTCTCGGTAGGCGATTGTCCTATCGTTGCACGGTGGACAATAAGAGCTGCTCCCGCAATGATCTATCTGTATCCCACATGAACGTTAAGGATCAGATGTAGTCGCCCCGATTCGCACGTACCTTAACAAACTTCACGCCTCGTCTCAGTCCACCGCACCTTTTGCCTCTCTCCGGTCCCAGTTCGCGCCATACTGGAAGAGTCTGTGGCGACAGCCTCTGTAGCTCACAAGGAGTGACGTTGGACAGCGCCTTCGTCTCGCACGTAGCGCCTTGCATCTGTCGTCAAAGTGCGGAGAGATTGGTGTAATACTGGATCGATCATAACTTTGCAGGCTTCATTGTGTGAAGGGAAGCGTCTAGAACATGACGTGAAAT